CTATGGAGGGTTATGAGTCAGTATTTTGGGGTTTCTGACTCTATTTTGGGGGCGCTGTCCTTGTTGTTTAACAGAATCTTAACTCTTGTCTCACTAATTTTTGTTACATTCCTCACTCCCTGAAAAGACGTGGTGACCACAATAGCTGCTGTTAGGGAAAGGGAGCAATGACTACTTTAGTTGTTTTGAGCTGTACAGGGGCAACAAGAAGGGATTGACAGGGCTGGGGATGTGGCTTAGTGGCACCGTGCCTGCCTGGCAAGTGCAAGGTCCTGAGTTCGATTCCCACTACCGCACACAATCTAACGGCTGATCTAATGGCCTGTGATAGAAGTCAGGTGGGATCTCTATGGTGGGTTTTATCTGCATGACTATCTGAAGTTGAACAGACTCTAGGTAGAGGAAACAAAATGAAAAAAGAGGATTGAGTAACAGGGTTAGAAAATGCAGAGGAGTACCACAACAACACTGGTATGAGGGTCCCACGAGGACTCACCCCCTCCCCACAGGGATTTAAATCGGGAGCTCTTGAACCTAGCAGCATGAGAGACTATTTTAGGAAGGAGCCCAGCGTAGAGATGGATCTACACATTTGGAAGATGGATGGCTTAAAGAATCATAAGTTAGGAAGGGCACTGGCAACAGTGTATGATATAAGAATTTTCCTGTGTGAAAAAGGCAGAGTATGATATAAGAATTTTCCACAAAGGAAACAGAGGCCAGTTTTCATGAGGGAGACAGTGGTGGTGTTCCCCTATAGCCAGGCAAATTTAAAGGTGGATGGGGCCAGGGATTTAGCTCAGTGGCGTCACACCTGCCTGGCAAGTCCAAGGTCCTGAGTTCAATTCCCATAGCTAAAATAAAAAAAAAATTTAAAGGTGGATGGTAAACCTATGTCAGTAGATACTGGTGTCCCAGATGACCATGGGCCTGTGGAGAAAGGTCTAGTTCTAGAAAACCAGCTGCCTATGATTGACATGGGGTGTTTTGGGTACTGAGCATGAAAAGAGAAAACCTAGAGACAAAGTGATGTCTTGTCTCACTGGGTACAAGGCCCAAACACTGGGAGAGACAACCACAGGTATGATTACGGGTGTCATTTAGGTTTAACATGGATCCTGCCCACGTTCCTGAGTAGTTACGATGTTTATCTTTCACCTAAAGGAGGAGTAAGAGAAATTATCTGTAGCACCCATCACTCTGATTGGGGGTGGGGGAGCAGTGAGGTCTCTCGACATTACAGAGGGAGAGGCCGAGGAACCCCAGAAGAGCTCTTGGGCCGTTTAGGTTGGAGAAGAACTAAGAAGGCTTAAGAAGTAGAGCTATAACCTTTCCCACAGACTGATAGTTCTGTCCCAAGGGAGATTTTACCTGGAGAAGTGAGGCCAAGCTCCTCCATCTCCCAGAGGGTAGGTGAGCCAGGTGAGGATGTGAAAGAAAGGTGCCATTTTTAGGATCTGAGGGAAGTCAAAAGAGCCCCAGTTTTGTGAGGATGTATTTTAAAGGGGTAATGGGAACTGAGACCAAGCTTTTTGTTTTTGTTTTTTTAAACTATCAAAGGGAGACTTTCCCTCGCATCCAGGTACCATGGCCGATCCTCGCGTGAGGCGGATCAAGATCAAGGCCGGCATGGTGAAGCGATTGGTCAAAGAAAAAGTGACGCATGAAAAAGAAGCAAAGCAACAGGAAGAAAAGATTGAAAACATGAAAGCTGAAGATGGTGAAAATTATGCCGTTAAAAAGCAGCCAGAGATCCTGCAAGAGTCCCGGATGATGATCCCAGATTGCCAGCGCAGGTTAGAGGCAGCTTATACTGATCTTTGCAAATATTAGAAAGTGAAAAAGATTTGGAAGAAGCTGAAGAATATAAAGAAGCACGTTTAGTTTTGGATTCAGTGAAGATAGAAGCCTGAAACTTGTCTGTACAGAATGTTTTTCCATTAAATCCTGGGGTCCATTCATTATTTTTTACCACTACTGGGTGTTCGAGTAGTATGAGAATGTGATTCTTTTTATGCAGTTGCAAATATTTTTCTTTGCATAATTTCATATGTCAAATAAATGAGTTCATCTAAAAAAAAAAACATCAAAGGGAGAGAAGGTGTACCTTGTTTTTCCTATTGAAATGCTTTTCAGCCAAGGTATCTTTCGGCAGCCTGTGAGGTCCTAGATTTTAGCCACCACAAACTAGAGTTGAGAGGGGGCAAGGTGACCAGATTACTCATTCTGACTGGTGTGCCCTTTGTCCTCTCGTGTCCCTGAAGCCCTTTGGTTGTGACCAGAAGTTGGACTTTCTTTACCCCAAAGAACTGAAACACTTCTGAAAGTGAAACTGAAGATCAAAGGTTAGACCCCTTGTTCTGCACTGAAGGGCAATGATCATTACAGTGGGGCAGGTTCCTGGCAGCCAGGAAGCCAGGCCAAGTAGTTTAAGCATCCTTTTCGGGCCACATTTGTCATTAAACCCAAACTCCAAGCAGAGATCTTGACTAGACCTATGGGATCAACTGCCTATCAGGCTGTCACCAGCACGTAGCCCTCACCGCATCTCTAAGAAGACAGAAAATTTTACTCAGCTGTGGTGTCTGTCACCTCTGCACCCTGCACAGGAGACACTGAAGGACCGTGGTTGACAGTCAGACCCGGGAGAGGGATTGGGACTGGGCAGAGTGCATGGCAATTTGAGAGTCACTGATCACTCTTTACCCACCTTTGAGCAAAAAGGAGGCTTAGAAGAAAACCTAGGCTCAACCAAACCAACAAGAGCAAAAACTTGAAATAACTGAACATACGATTTTTTTTTATAAGCCTCATCATTTGCAAACCTTTCTCAATGTAGACTTCCTAATTTTGTCCCTATTTTTTTTAATTTTGGTAAGTGAAAAGTTTATCATATAAAGTCTTCTCATTTCCAAAATATAGCTTTATATTTATAGTGTTTTTATATTTCCTTCTCTGTCCTCCTTACTGGTTTCGTTCTGTAACAAGCCTAGTAGCTGGTTGGATTTTAAGATGCCCCTAGCACTTTTTCCTTTGGCCCAGAGTGAGTTTATAGATGTTTTTTATTCCAATTAAGGCTAATTGACCAAAGAACCTCTAAGCAGCCTTCAGTAGCATCCTTACCTTAGCCTGAGCAGAAAGCAGCACAAGAGCAAGTTAACCCTGTGATTATAGTTTAAGAACTATCCCAATCCACAAGAAATGTTTTAAGCATATCAACTAAACAAAAATATCAACTCAAATTGGAACCCAAAAGTAAATTTATCAACCAGCCAAGATTTGGCCCAGTGGGCTCTTTTTTTTTTTTTTTTTGGTACCAGGGATCGAACTCGGGACCTTGCGCTTGCAAGGCAAGTGCCAGAACCACTGAGCTAAATCCCCAGCCCAGTGGGCTCTTGTTAACTCCTCAAAGGTTTCCAGGAAGGATCCTTCCCTTCCCTGGATCCCTAGAGAAGAATTAAACCCCACCTTATTATTTACTAGGACCCGGTGCAGGCCGCATACTGTTCAAGAGCCAATTTTTTTCATTGACCTCAAAAATGACAGCCATAGCCTTTATCTAAAAGCACCAGTTTGTCTGACATTCGGGAGGCTGGAGAGTAATTTACTAGGTGGGAGTAGTGGAAGGCGGAGACTTTGAGAGACAGGAAGAATGTGGCTCAGAAGGGAGGGACAAAGACTACAGGCAAGACCCCAGAACTCAGAAGCAAACAGGGCAAAGCATTCAGGGTACAGGAAAAGATTATGTAACAAAGACACTTCATCTTTTTGTTGTACAAACATAAAACATAAACCTAGCAGATGCACGGGAGTTGTCCTGAGCCTAGTGGAGACCACACTGCTGTCCCAGGACAAAGTTACCCTTTTACAGGAGTCCCTAAAACAGTGGATGCCCTAATGGCTCTTAACTGTGTGACTTGTGCCTGCGAGAGTGCAAGCAGACAATTAAAACGAGACAAGATATAGGCTCCTGGCCCAACACACCAAGAGAGAGTCATGATGAAGGCGATTTGTTGCCTCTAACACCCGTGGTTAATGGAGCAGTGTGTCCAAGGATCATCAGATTCGGGGAGCCAAGAGCGCCAAGGGCAGAGACCGCTCCTTCGCCAGCAGAAGGATCAAATTGGAAAGGAAGACAGAGGTGAGACTGGGGATCGGCTCAGCCCACATCAGTGAAACCTCTAACCCAAGACCGCAAGATTGGTGGCCACGCTAATCGCTTTTAATTGGTCAACAGAGTCCCAATACTGTTCTGAATGGAAAGTCACAAAGTGAAAGCAGAGTGTAAGAAGGCATCGACCTTACTTACCTCCTCTTGGAATCTCAGATGAGGACCCAAATATGATACTGGAATGCTGGGGTCGTATCCCATGGTGACAGAGAATGGAACCGCAGGGGAGGTAGGGTGAAAGAAATTTATTTTAAAAACACAGGGGCCGGGAATTTAGCTCAGTGGTTCCAGTGCCTGCCTTGCAAGCACAAGGTCCCGAGTTCAATCCCCGGTACCAAACAAAACAAAACAAAACAAAACAACCCATAAAGGCAAGGAAGCAAAGCTCCCACTAGCTGGGAGAGGGCTCTTTGTCTATGGGTTTTAAAGGCGTTCAGAAAGGAGTACAGGTGGTGTATAAACAATATAATCTCTGCCCCATAGGAGACTATATTTTTTATGGTACAATCTATGCAGTGTTCACAGTGCTCAAGTAGGGCCCATGTGCCTTTGAACCAATGGCCTGCCTGATTACACTCGGGGGGGAGGTCCCAGCCAGCCATGGGGCACCCTGCAGCTGTTTTCATGAGATTCCCGGTGGGTTGTGACTCAGCAGATTCCACTGGGGTTCCCTACTCCATTTTGGGGCCGCTGGCCTTACTGCCTAATAGAATCCTAACTTCTGTCTCACTAATTTCTGTTACAGTACCATCAAAAAAAAAGAAAAAAGAAAGAAAGAAAAAAAGAGAGAAAAGAAAGACAGAATTATTCTGACGTATTCGGACACTTGTTAAAATGGCAAGGAAAACTTTATTCAAGAGTATTGCAAAAAAAAAAAAAGGGTTGCAATAGGCCCAGGGAGATGACTGGATACAACCGGCATTAGCACAGCTGGGGATTCACAACCAATGAGCAGAGTAAGAGTCAGTGAGCAATTGCTGTGGTACCAAGGCTAGGAGGGTTCTGGAGTCCCTTGCTGGATTCCTATGGAGGGAGGTGGCCAGGTAGAGAGGGTGGGAAGATTCTTGCTCATCCTGGGCGAGGGCTAGGCAGGCCCAGCAAGGACAGGGGCCCATCTGAAGTTTGGGGAGGAGACTGCCGGGCTCCTGGCGAGGTCCTCCATGTGCCCCTCACCAGGACTCAGGCAACAGAGCTGCATGGTAGGGCCGGGGATTTAGCTCAGTGGTTTGGCCGCCTGTTGTGCAAGCACGAGGACCTGAGTTCGATCCCCGGTACCAAAACAAACAGAGCTGCCTGGTCAGCTGGTCCTGAGAACACAGCAGGGACCAAGCGGACAGCTGTGCCTGCCTGGCAAGCGACCATTCCACAGGAAGAGGGCAGAGTGGAGAGCCTGACAGGGTAGATCACGAGGGTCAGAGCTCCGGGCAAGAAGCCTGTAGTTGACCTTGTATACAACAGATTCCTCATGCAGCTGTGTGAGAACAGATGTTGGGGAGACCCCTTACCACTGAAGACAGCAAGCTGCAGCCTGTCACATGCACCTGTGACGTATTTCCTGTCTGTGTCTGTGGGAGAGTGGAGGTGAGGGTGAGGAGCTCCAGGAGGCTACAGATATTGCCCCCAAAACAGGTGGTGCCCAGTCAAGAGAAGGCACCAGTGCCCGGAGGGGTTCTGGGAACAGGCCAACAGGATATACCTCAGTGTGAGAAGGGCAGTGGGAGGGTGGAGCCGGGAGTTTGTGCGGCGGAGGTAGAGGCCGCGCCTTCTGAACTGAGAGGGGCATCCCAGAATATCAGGCGTGGTGTGGGACCTGGCACTGCACCAGATGCAAGGCTGTAGGTGGTGACAGGTATAGACAGTGGGGGCCACAGCCATCCCACTTCAGGAGGACCCCAAGGCTCAGGGGTTTCGGCTGAGACCATTCGTGGGTAGAATTCTGAAGACCTGCAGCCCAACCTGGAGTCTGGGCCGGAGGGCACAGGATGGGGGTGAGAGGTGGAAGGTGTTCCTAGAAGGGGGAACATTTTGTGCTGAGGAGTGGAATGTGAGGCTGGACTCTGCCCAGTGCACAGGGAGCCTTGGCTGAGCATGAGAGTCGTGTCTCGGGACTGAGCTCCTGCCCCTGCCCCCCGGGCCCTGGGCTCTTTTCTGCCTTCACTCCCAGGTCCCCATGGTCTGTCACCACTGCCCACCTGCCTCTATAGCATCCTTCAGTGGCCACAGGGCATGAGACCCAGGGCTGGGCTGCTGGCCTCTCACAGGACTCCAGCCCCACTCAGCTGCTGGGGCCCCCATCCCCAGAGCAGCTTCTTGCCTGGGGAGCCCTGCTTCCCCCAAACTCAGCGAGAGCCTGCTTCTCTGTCTCACTGTGCTGCCAGCACAGGGATCGCCTTATACTATCATGCCTGGTCTGCCTCCCTGTGCAGTAAGGCCCACTCAGTCCCAGGGCCCAGTGCAGGAAAGGTGGGTCACCTGGACCAAGTGGCCCTTGAGTTGCCTGAGAGCACAGGACAGGAACCTAGAGGGTCACTTCCAGGACCCAAGGGATGGCCTGCCAGGGACCCTGGGTGCAGGCTCTGAAGGTAGCCATTGCAGTGACCAGGGCACATCCCTGACCACAACATGGCTGAGGTAGTGGGGTGTCTCCACCCGGGCGGCTGACAGAGTGATGCTGGCAAGCACTTGCAAATTAAATGGTGTGTGAACACCTGCTAAGAGACAAACAACCCTTCTGAACCTGGGTTCTGCCAGCTAGTACCAAAGGATGACTGTGACGTAACCAACACAGGCAAAAGCCCCATCGGGGACAGGCACGCACCAAGAACTCTGCTCCTTGCCTGTGATTCTCCTTGCTGACACTCAAGGATGCCTGGCTCATGGCAGGGTGCAGAGAAGTGAGCCTGCCTGGCCTCTGTCATCCCCACTCATGGCCCACAGGTGCCCACATGGGTTGCCTATGGAGCGCCGGCCTCTCTGGCTGCTCCCAATCCTCCTCAAGGCGACACAGTATTCCTTAGATCCTTCTTTTCTACTTTTTGTTTTTGGTGGGGGATCATGTCCCCTCCCCACGTCCTCCCCCACCCCCAGGTAGGAAGGGGAGTGTCCACTCTGCCTTGGCCCAGAATGGCTCAGAAGTGGCCTGGAGCCCCTGTGCCACCTCCCTGGCTGCCCACAGGGGACCCAGAGGGGTCTCCACCACCTCCTTCAGCCTGAGCTCCAGGTTTGGCAATGGGCACTGCAGAAGTCCTTCACAACCATGTCCCTAATCCAGTCCTGGGGAACATTGTCATTGTGTTTCAGGGCATAGGCAGGGAGAGGCCCTGGGCCCAGCTGAGGTTGTACATGGAGGTGAGCCACACTGGGGAGCAGCACCAGCCAGGCCCACAGTAGGCCCCACTGGGCCTCTTCAGCCCCTCCGACTTGCTCAGAAGGGCCCTATGTGTCCAGGACCCTGACTTCTGCTCCCTGATTTAGGCAGTCCCCTACCCTCTGACAAGGCAGTCCCCTACCCTCAGCCCAATGCTGTCAGCCACCTCTGCCCAGAACCTGTCCCCAGCGTGTGAATAGTTCTGGGCTGCTCAGCCCCACAGTGTGCAGATCCCGTGTGACCAGCTGGGTCTGCACGCGTGCATGGGTTTACGTGTCCAAAGCTGTGTGGGCACAGTTGCTGCAGGACCAGCTGCTGCCCACAGCTCTAGGGGCTGACCAGGTAGGGAGCTCCTCCACAGCTCTGGGATCCAGGTGCCTTGCTCCAGCTGTGCTGGGACTGAAGGGTATCCAGGGCCCAAGTCAGCCGTAGCTGTGGGGGCTGCTGGGGTCCACAGGAGCTGAGTTGCGCCGGCCAGCTGGCCCTACCAGCTGCCACAGGCGGTGGCTGAGGTTTTGGACCTGGCAGGTTCCCAGCACACAGCCCACCCGCAGGAGCTGGGCGTGGGGTCTCCGGAGGCCTGGGTGTCTCCGGAGGCCTGGGTGCTGTCGGCCACCAGCCTGGAGGGGTCGGCCCATGGCAGAGGCCAGGCTGGCCCTCTCGGGTGGCTGGGGGGGCGGGTGAGGGTGCCGAGGCTGCAGGCCACTGGGGGTCCGGGCCGGGGGGTCCCTGTAGAAGGGGAGGGGAGGTGGAACTGGGGGCCCGGGCTGGGCCTTCCAGGGGCTCCCCGCTCACCCACCCTCCCTCCACCCAGGCTGAGGGTTAGGCAGGGGAAGCCGGCTGCTTCCCAGGGCCTGGCACGGGACCAGGGGAAGCCCGGGCCCCCACACAGCCTGCTCACATCAGGGTGAGCTCACCCTCCCTTCAGAGCCGGAGTCACATGTCCTGGGAACAGCACCTCCCTGGGCAAAGGGCGCCAGGTCATGGTGAGTCTGTGGGTCACTACCCTCAGAATTCAGTGACTCCCCAGCCCTTCGCTTGGCCCTTCTGGGGTGCCCTGGCCTCCCCTCCCCCAGGGGACCCTCTAGTTGGGAGGCTGCTCTGTCCCCGTGGGGTAAGCAAAGGCACAGAGGCCTCCTGCTGCTCAGGCCCGGAAGGCTGGGGTGGCTCTAGATGGCAGATGAGGACGGCAATCTGTTAGCAGGAGCAGGTGGGCAGCAGGAAGCGACACAGGCCTCCAGGCCTGGGGTCGGGGTGGTGCAGGGGCCTCACCTGGCTCGCACGGGCCTAGGGTCCCCGCGCAGGCTGCCGGAGCGCGCGCTTGGGAGCTGCAGGTGGAGGAGGCTGATGCAACCGAGGGCGACAGCGACCGTCAGCGTCCGGGCCATTGGCAGGGCTGCGGAGGGGAGCGGTGAGGCGGGTGGGCCGGGGCGCCCTCTGGCCGCACCCCGGGAGCCCTGAGCGGTAGGGGCGCGGGCTCAGGGTACCTGCGTCTGTCGGGGCAGAGCTGGCGGGTCCGTCCCCTTTTGCGGGGCGCGGCGCGCGGGTCAGAGCTGGCGGGCTCCTCGGTGCCTCCGCGGTCTGGTCAGGGGCCTGCAGGGGACCTGCGGTGGCACCCCTGGCGCTAAATAGATTTCGAAGCAGGGGGCGGAGCTGGGGCGCGGGGCGGGGCGGGGCGCCCTCCCCTCCCCTCCCAGGGCCCACGAGACCCCTCCCGCCCGTGGGAACCGTGGAGCCCCGGCGCTCAGGAAGGGGCGGGGCGCAGCCACCTGGCCTGGAACCCCGGGAGCGCCCGGCCCCACTCCTGGCGCCTTCTAGTGGGGGACACAGTCCCAGAGCTCGGCGGGGCTGACGGGTGGGTTCTGGGGGCGACCCCCTTCGGCCACCTCTCAGCGTGGGGGTGGAGCCGCCCCGCCTGGGAGAGCCTCTCAGTTCCCCGCGAGGATCTTTCCAGCCCTCTTCAAGGTGCCTACAGGCCTGCTTAGCAGAGTACCGTGTGGTTTTTTTAGGAAATTTGACAGAGTGGAAAGTGAGTCCCTCACCTTGCCGGCAGCTGCTCTCCGCGGGTCCCTGTCCCGCACTGACCTCTCTCCTGGGCACGGGTGTATTCTGGGGGTGCAACACCCACACCCAAGTACAGCATATGTAAAAGCAGCCAGAGAGACCCCCCCCCTTTCTTATGGCTGGCCGTATTTTAACACTGGTATTCTGTGATTTACTTAGTTCTTCATTAACGTTAAATTAGGTGATTTCCAGTCTTTTCAAGAGTAAGAACCCCCTGCGGCGGCAAGCTCACAGCACGCCAAGTTCTCCACAAAACCTGCACCGATACACTGTCTGCCCATGGTCTTTTGTAATCTGTTCTCTGCTTCTTTGTCACTCTGAGAGGGCACTGTTGTCTCACTGCCGGTCCACGCTCGCTGCTGACTGCGTCACCCCTCTGTGGGGCTTCCCTAAGACCTGGTCACCTCTGTCCCTCCTGCTGAGCAGACCAAGGTGCTCAATAAACATTTGTCGGATGAATACATCAAGGAGTGTTGGGATCAGGGCACACTGGAGGGCAGGGAAGCATCAGTGGATTCTCACCTGCTTATTATTTATTTTTACCTGTTGGGGGAAGGAATGGTCTCATTTATGTCAGGAAAATGGAGTGGTGGCCATGAAGGCAAGTAAACGTGGGGCAGAGAGGCAGGTGCTGGGGTGGCTGGCAGAAGTCAGTGCTGTGAGCACGGGAGGGAGTGGATAGGAGGCCCCTGTTCCTGGGCCTAGCGCTCCTGTTTGCAGATCCAGGGAGCTGCTGGAGGCAGGGGAGGTTATGGTTTGGACATGCTGTGGCTGGCCTGTCAAGGGGCATCCAGGCGGTGGTGATTATTGGGTTGGCCTCCAGCTTCCTGGGTCCAGGACTGAAGACAGGGCCAGGGCGAGCATGGATTTGAGGGTTTAGAAACAGAGAGGTTCTAGGGACTACAGGGAGCATCATGCAGAGAGAACACAGAGGGAGCCAGCTCTGAAGGGACAGCAGCAAAAGGATAAGCCAAGGATCCCAAGGTAGAACCGAGTCTGCAGCTTGGCCTCCTGTCACCAGCAGCCCCACTCCACCCTCAGCCTGTCTCTGTACTGCTCTGTCATCCTTTCTAAAACACAAACACCACCCTATCATTCATCCTACCAATAAAGAAAATTAAAGTAAACTTCCCATCTTCATCAGGGAAGGTGAGCCTCAGGGGACCATGGGTGGAAGCAGTGTGTTCTTTCCTTTAGACCCTGACACGACAGAACAGCCTATGAGCCCACGGCCCCAACTCTGCAAAAGCCCATGGCAGGGCTGGGGTCTACCCTCTGGTCCTCAGGCTCTAGCCTGGCTGCTTAACCTGCCCTTACCCATCCTACCTGGATTAGAGTCCCACCCTGTGGCCCTAAACCCCCTGCATGGCACATTTTTGGCACTTGCTGTATACAACTGTCCTTGTGCCCTCTGAGGGAAGTCCCAAGTGCCTTGTTCATTACCCTTGGTAGGAAAAGTTGCTTCTGGGGGTGCGGGGCTACCCACCTCCCAAGCTGATGCCACAGGTAGAAAGTGGGCAAGAAATTCATAGGAGAGCCAAGACTAAGCTCAGGAGGGCTGTGTGATGCTGGTGATACTGGGGAATATTTTATAGGGCTCTGCTTAGAGCCCAAAGGGTGGTAGCTGCATCATAAGAGGGTCTGTTTGAGTGTGTTAAGGTGGAAAGTGAAGTTTGAGCCTCATGGTAAGGATCCCAGAGAAAGAGAGAGAGTGACTGAGTGCAGTGGGGACACTGACAGCAAAGAACAGGAGGTGGGTGGGAGAGCAGAGACAGGTTTTTGAGACATTTCTGCTATGTAGCCCAGGCTGGCGGATCCCAGCCTTGGTGATCCCCCTGCCTCAGCCTCCCAAGTGCTGGGACAACAGGTGTGTGCCACCACACCCAGCTTGGAGGAACAGGTTTCCGTGCTAACTGTGGGAAGATGGGGGTGGGGGTAAGCCAGGCAGGTTTGAGGCTTGGTGATGGGACACAGTTCTCCCATCTGATGCATCTGTTTTCTCTGGGGAGAAAGGGGGGCTGACCATCCTTGAGACATGGAAGAGGAAGTCAGAAGATTGAGGGGAGTACAGACCAGAAGACAGCTGACCAGATATCTGATGGCTGGGCACGTGTAGGGAGGGAATGTTCTCCATCCCAAGCCACTGTAGGTCACTCTGCCCTGTATAGTAGGTGCAGGGCTGGAGGATGTAGATGGTCAGGATTGCACATGGCTGGGTTGTGCCAGATGGGGACAGTGAGAAAACAGAGACAGGAGGGTTAGGGTTGGGATTAGATGGCAGGCCACGGAAGGTCGGCTGGAAGGGGTGGAAAGGACTGATGGAGAAAGCCAAACGGCCCGTGGGCTGAGCAGAGTGGCTTTCTGGAGTTCTGAACCCATTGGGGTTGGAAGCCTGGGAGACCACAGGCCCTCACAGAGGAGGCTGGGTTAGGAGCAGGCGACGTGGGCAGTGTGGAGTGGGCAGGAAACTTGGAGGGAAAGGGCAGGTTGGGAGGGATTCTTGCCAGGGATGGGACACTGGGCTGAGGACACTGGGCCTGGTGGCAGGCATGGGGGAAGAGGGAATCAAGGTCATCACTAGGGACCTGTCCTGCCCTCAGGTACCGGGCCAAACTTGCACCGGTACTTTGCTGGTCCACGCATACTCAGTGGTGTGGAGAGGACCTTTAGTGGCAGCAGCCAGCTCAAGACAGTTCAGGCAGAAAGGAGGACTTTCCAGCTCTGTAGCAGCCAGTAGTACAGGGGCCTGTGCCTGGGGCCAGGCAGGGACCCTAGAGTCTCTCTCAGGCCTCCTTTCAGTTTAGTTTCATTCATCCTGCCGGGCTAGTGCCTGCCAGCATGTGGAGGAAGCACAGACACCAGCAGTTAGCTCCTCTGTCCCTTCCTGCAGCAGCCAAACTCATCTGAAAACAAGCCTGGCCCGGGGCCTTACCCAAAGGTACTCCACACCTCAGATCACCCGCTCTTCACAGCTGGACATGCAGCACATCTACTGAATGTCCCACTCCACCGAGATGGGGTTCCCAGGCAGCCAGAGCCTTCCTCGACTGGGACCCCCCAAAATAGGGCCTGGGCACGCTCCCTGTCCTCAATTGCCAGGCTGGCACCCTGGCGGCGGCGGCCCTGGCCGGGTGCGATGTCTTCGAATTTGGAAACCGCGTGGCCAGGGCCAGGGCCGTCTTGCTCTCCCCCTTGACCGCGTAGAAGCCTGGAGAGCCCACTTCGATCCCCAGCTTGGGAGCTTCAAGGCGGGGCCAGCTTCTCTCCGTTCCGGTGCCAAAGTACCCAGGGCAAGGCCCGCCCAGGTGCTGGCCCGCACCTACTATCGACCCACCGCCGCCCGGGGCAGGCGCGCTCACCAACCAGAGCCGCCTTCCTCGTCACCGCTGAAGGGGCGGGGCCCGGGGCTCAGAACCCCCAGCGGTAGGCGAGGGCGGTGCTCTCGGTACCCGGCCCTCGCAGAGTGGACCAATAGAACACGTCCCTTCTCAAACCCCGCCCACAGGGGCGGGGAGGCGGGCGCAGGCGCACGACGCGGCCGGGCGGGCCGGCTGGCTGGGAAGATGGCGGCGGGAGCGCTGGCCAGCTCCGCAGCGGAACGGGCCCGGGGCGTCGTGGTTGCCCGGCCCAGGGCAGGGGCCGGGCCATGAGCGTGCCTTCCTCGAGTTCCCGAGCCACGGAGCCTGCCCGCGTCCCTCGGACCGCCCTGCGCCTCTCGTTATGGCGCGGCTCGCGGATTATTTTGTGCTGGTGGCATTCGGGCCGCACCCGCGCGGTGAGTGCTGCGGAGCGGCGCCGAGGAACAGGGCTGGGCGCGGAGGGACGGAGCTGGGCGCCAGTGGACCAGGTCGGAGGCCGGGGCACGGGACTAGGCGCCCAGGGCTCGGGAAGCAGCCTCAGCGGTCGGGGGGCGCCCTCGAGCATCTAGGCGCTGGGCCTGTGCGAGGGCCGCCCTGGGCACCTGTGTCCGGTGCGGAGGTGGGCAGGGCCGTGCTGCTGCAGACGGGAGGTGGGAGGTGGGAAGGCCCTGGGGTTGCCTATCGTCTCCCGCTCCCAGTTGGGTGGGATGGCACTCCCCGCCTTCGCCGCCTGCTGGGTGGTGGTGCTGAGCTCCGGGGCGGGGGCTTCATGTTGCCACCCCCTTCTCTGCTCTGGGCTGAGTCTAAGTCTCAAGCAGACTTGGTGTGGTGCAGAGGGGGTGGAGTTCAGGGGTTACTTCACGGAGAGATAGTATTTGATTTAGAAGTGGGCCGGGGATTTAGCTCAGTGGTTCCGCCGCCTGCCCTGCAAGCCCAAAGACCCGAGTTCGATCCCTGGCAAAACAAAAAACAAAAAACAAAAAAAAACCATCCTCAGAGGATTTCAGACGTGTTGGGAACTGAGTAGAGCATTCCTGGCAATGGGCCTATCAGTCCAGGCCTTGCAGGCCAAGCCCTGAGTGGGGGATCAGTGTGGTCATTGGTGCTGATGTCCAGCAGGTCCAGGTATGGGGCCAGCACCTGGGTCTGAGAACCCTTCAGTGGGGAGGGGGTAGGAGAAAGCAGAGCCTGATGATGACATCAGCTCAGCCTGGAGACAGTGGTGTTGGGGTATTGGCAAGCGTGCTCGGAGTGCCAGGCTCTGCACAGCCCGTCATATGATCTCACTTCTCCCAGCAGCCCACCAGGGTTGCCCTGATGTCCCCATCTGTAGAGCAGAATCAGGTGCAGGTCCAGGCCGGTTGGGACCTGCACCCAGGCCATCCAATCCCAGTCGCAATGGGGAAGAGTGTTGTTGGGGACAGCCACGTGGTCAGCTGGGGCCGTCCCTTCATTCCTGGGGTTCAGGTTGAGTCCTCCCCACCCCGTTTTCCTGCTTCTTTTTCTTTTCTGTCCATCTTTCCCCTCCTTCTTTATGTCTGCAGTGTTTGGGAGTCAAACCTAGGGCCTCACATATGCTAGGCAGACACCCTACCACTGAGCTGTGCCCTCAGCCCTGTCCTGTTTCTTATCAGTCCAGGTGCCACTGTCACCATCCAGGTCCTGAACTTTTTCTCTTCTTTGCCTTTCTCCTTGCTGAGCCTCTACCTGATGCCCCTTGTCCATTGTCCACCTCCTGGACTCTGCACACTTTTTGAAGCCTCTTCAGCATCTGCTTCACCTCCAGATCGTATTTAGTGCCCTCTCACTCAGCACTGGTTTCTTTCGTCTGTTCCATTGTGAGCATCTGCCTTTCCCTCCAGAGATAGTTCTCAAAAGCAGAGCCCACCTTGTCCTCAGCCTCCTGTCCTCTGTGCACAGCAGACCTGGCATCCGTGTTGTAGTAGCCCTTGCAAGGAGCACTGTCTGTTCCCAGGCGCGTGTGGCAGTGAGGCCATGGCACCTGGGGCAGGGGGCTGCATAGAATCCAGAGAAACAGGGCTGGCTTAGAGCTGCTTGAAGGTGAGTAGCTTTGGGCTGGGTTCTAAGGTAGGGGCTTTAGGAACAGCGAGGGCTTGGAGGATGATAAGAGCCTGGAAGAAGGATGGGGAAGGAGAGGCAGAGGCTTCAGGCAGAACCTGGGTAGGAGGCAAGGTGGCCGTGGTGGGTAAGAGTGGAGGATGAATGTTAGGGGGCATGGGGAGGGAGGGGTGGGCTCCACGAGAAGCTGGCTGTGACACATGTGCGCGGTGCTGGATCCACAAGAGAGGCAGGCCCCTCTGGTCTTGTGGCCTCTGAGCAGGACAGGATCAAAGGCTGTGGCCTAGGATGCCCAGTCTCCCTGAAGGACTGACTTCCAAGCTGTCCACCATAGTGGATGTGGGAGACCAAGGAGCCCCCTAACCACTGCCTTCTCGGGTTGGAACTGTCAGCTGTTGGTTGGTCACCCAGCTTCATAGCATTTCTTACAAGGCCTTAACTATCCCTGTGGGGAACAACCCCACAGCTTGGGACCCTGGCCATGGGCTGAATGCAGAGCCAGTTGGTAGGGTCGGGATGGTGATGGTGGCAGCTAAAAGGTGCCTGAAGCAGAGGTATACAGGGTGGGGGATCAGTTATTTCTGCTGTGCCACCCCATAGCTCTGTGGTCCTGGGCAGTCATTCAGCTCTTGGTGCCTCAGTTTTCTCAGCTGGAGCTGGAACAAGTCATGCTACCGTAGTCTGCTGAGGATGTGAACACGCACTTGTGAGATCTCAGGAGACGGTGGGTGTCTTACTAATGACTACCCAGCAGGTGTGTGAACACTTCTAAGCATAGGTGGCTCGAGGTATCTCTGTAGGAGGGGAAGGGCTATGTTTGTCAGGCCTAGGAGAGTGGGCAGCTATGCAGAGTCTTTTTGGTTGAGGGGTGTGAGTAGGGGAATAGCTTATCTTTGGCTGGATTTGAACATCCTCCCTAGAATTGCTGGGTTCAGAGCCTGGGTACTGCATGTATCTCAGCTGCCTGGTTTGGGTCAAGTCCTGTCTGAGGGAGCATCGTGGTTGCTAGTGGTTACCAGCTGGCAACCTCTCAGGGAAGGTGGAAGGGGTGCTGGGGAAGGAAAATGCCTGGGTTGTGTGTGACTTTTACCTGGGAAGGTGCCGGCTGGCCCTTCACAGGCCCCTTAGCTGGTGAGTAAGGGAGCACTTCTGTGCCCTGGGCCTGGCTCTGGGGCCAGTGAGAACCAGACAGATTACCCCTGCCCAGCTTCCAACAGAGGTCAGCTGATTCAACGAAGTTTGGCCAGTGCTAAGATATCTTGAGGAGCAGGAGAGGCACCTGACCTGGCCTAGACGTGACTGGCAGCCCCCTTGTCGCCACTGGGAGGGAGAGGTTGGAGCCCTCCACATCTGAGAAAAAGACCTGTCATCCTATGGCCTGGCCTCTTTCAGTCTTGGGTGATGAGCTGGCCACATTCTTGGGCTCCAACTGTTGTCCCCACCCATGTGTCTGCCTTCCCTCAGGAGCAGGTTGGGGCTGTTTGGGGTGGCTGGAGTTGCCTCCCATCCTCCATCTGGGGTCCAAGGCCTGGCTCAGAGCTGCTGTGGGCTGACTGTGGGGTTAGGGTGGGTGATGGAAGAAGCTGCAAGCCCCTTCTGCACATCCGCTGCTGTGACTGCTTTCAGACAGCGTGCCTACATGTTGAGGTCTGGGTGGGTGGAGCAACAGGAAGTGCTGTCCTTTCCTTCTCCTCCTTACTGTAGCTGGGCTTATCCCAGGCAGAAGCTAGCCGAGCTGTCCAGCATGTGTGGTGGGCTAGGCAGAGGAGGGTGCCTTTCTTTCCCTCCTTACAGTGCGCACTGGCCTGGGCTGGGCCTCCAGGCATCGGAGCCTGGCACTGGAGATGGGGTGCTGCCAGCAGATGACAGAACACATGGTCTGTGTTCTCCTGCTGGCCAACCTCCCCTCTGGGCCTGTAGCCTGCATGGGGCTGGCTGGTGGAGGAAGCCCTCACTAAGGAGCTTTGAGGGCAGGAGCCTCAGGGCCACCCAACCTGTGGTTCAAGAGTAGAAGGGAGAGAGGACTTCTCATCTGTGTGTCAGGGGACCAGGGTGTCCCTCTTGCTTGGGCCCCCAAAGAGTACTGACTGTCCTATGATGCCTGGCTGTGGTGTTGGGATAAGTCTTGCCACTGTGGAGCAGGGAGGGGAGCGTGTCCTCCCTTCTCTCTACCCCTGGTGGGCCAAGGAGCTCAGCTCTTCATTGCAGGTCACCTTCATAACCACAGGGTTTGACTGAGTGGGGGACACTGGAGAGACTTGGCAGAACCTTTCTATCTTTTACAGGAACACTTTTACCTTTTACAGGCCAGCAGCGGCCAAGCTGCAGCCTGGCCCCGTGATGGTACAGAGCTAAGATGCAGGCTGGGGTGTCAAGGGGCTAGAGCTGTAGGGCCTCTTCCTGGTGTGTGTGTCTCAGGAGGGCCGGTCCTGGTGCAGCTTGAGGCTCCGGAAGCTGCTCTGCACTGCCGACTGAGGAACCTGTTTGCTTGTGGGCTGTGGGGAGGATGGTCATGTCACCAACTGTGTGCATTCAGCGAGCCCTAATTAGGCTGTGGTTTAGGCCAGGCACCAGAGCTTGCGGACAGGTGCACCCGTTGTCACAGGGTGGGGGAGGGTTGTGGTAGAGGAAGGAGGTCCTGAGGGTCCCACCCCGGGCTCAGGCAGAGAGCTTCCCGGAGGAAGGAGCGCAGGAGGTGCCTGCTTCGCTGAGCCACCCATCCACCCTTGTGAGGCAGTGAGGCACTGGGGAGAATGGCGGAGGTGAATGGCGTGGGCCGGGGCTGCTGGGTGGTGACGGCCCTTCCTGTGCAGTCCCTGAGGGGAGAGGCTGCTAAGAGAGGCCTGCTGAAGGCCACCTGCCCTGCCTGGCCTTGGGGAGGCCGCAGAGCAGAAGCTGCTCTCCCTGTCAACACC